AATTTTTAAACGTCTAATCAGCAAAAACTCAATGGGATACACTTAGTCTATTTTTGTACATGGTGTAAGGCATCACTCAACCCTATAATCCTCAACGCAAGCTGGGTTTTTGTCTTTTCTTTGAAAGAATGGGAGCCTGGTTTGGGGAGCTTCTGTGGTGCATTTTCCTTTGTGTGTTCAGCCCATGGCATATACCAGCATACAGAAGATGTTTAACAAATGCTGGATGGATGCACAAACAAAAGAATGGAGGAACTTAATAATTGTACTGCTCCAGCTGATCCTTGGAAACCCTATACCGGGTCACTATGGGTCAGAATGACGATACTTAACAACAACAACAAAGGCCTATCCATGAACTCCTGGGGTGGCTCTGTAGGATAAGCACCAGACCACAAGGTAGATTTTAATTGTAAGGTTGATGGTTCAAACTCACTATTTGCTCCTCAGTAAGCCTATACCAGGTTGCTATGAGTTGGAACCAACTGGATGGCATTCAACAACAACAACAACAAAAAGTCTATCCATGGACTCCTGGTGTGGTGCTGTACGATCAGCAGTGGACTGCTAACCCAAAGGTCAGCAGTTCAGACCTACCAACCACTCCTCGGAAACCCTGTACAGGGTCATTATGAGTTGGAACCAACTAGACGGCACTTAACAACAACAAAGGTCTACTGATTATTGTCAAATTTATTCTGATTTATAGAGACCCTAAAGGACAACGGAGAACTGCTCTATGGGGTTTCTTAAGCCACAGTCTTTACTGAAACAGACTGACACCTTTCTCCTGTGGGTTCAAACGGCCAACCTTCCAGTTAGCAGCACAAGATCGGGCAGCATTTCATTGTATTGTACACAGGGTCACTGTGAGTCAGAACCCACTCGATGACACCTAACGACAAATGCTTAAGGCCACATGTGGAGGTGCAAAAGGGTTTGATGTGAACTTCAGTTTTCACCAGAAAATGTGAAATCATGCTACACTCACCTAATGGTTTCACTGCAAACTTGAAGCCAGATCACGTTCATCAATATTTTTTATTTTAAGCTATGAGCTGTTTCATAGTTTCAGAGAAAAATAGTATACGTGTAGTGATGGTATGGCTTCATGATTACAAAACCAGGCTAACTTCCACTCGGCTAGCTCAGTTGCTCTTAACGGGTTGGCATTCTTTTAAGACCTCTCAATTGTTTTAATTTTTAAAATCTGGAAGTCATCAAATAAAATGAATTACCAAAGGAGAAATCTCCACAAGGTCAAAGATTCAAGAAGGGTAGTTACCTGAAGGCTGTATAACAGCCGGGTTAAATTCTGTATAGCTTGTATGATCTGAAAAGTAAAATATAAGTGTCAAATTCTTGAAAAAAGTATTCTTTATCCACGAATAAAGAAAGAATGTTAGTACAATGTTGAGAGTATGCACAGCTCACCTCTGACTGTGCAGAGCCTGGTATAATTCTATATTCCACCTAAAATACATGAAAACATAAGAAAATGAATAACCATTCCACTTTTGCAAAACTGCACTGCAGTGTTCCAAAACATCTGACGTCAGGAAAATCACTTCACACTCTAGTCTTGATGATGTCACCTATAGTGACTGTTTCCTCTCAATGATAAAAGCCTACTGAATTCAGCAATGGTTTGATATCAAGAAACCCCTTTGTACAAACTCAGTGTTTCAGATGACACCCTTCTCCCAGCCACGAACGAGTTATTCCTTAAAACGAAAACAACCTGGATGGCAGGAGAGAGTCTGCAAACCCTAAGTAGGTGACAATATTTACCTTGGGAAAACCACACTGTAAATGGAACTCCAAGATCTTACTGAAGCTAGGGAACATCCCTAGCTAGAAGCTTCCCGTCTCAGTGTTTGCCATTCTCCTCAAAAAAAAAAAAAAAAATCAGGAGAAACCATACCCAGAGAATGGCCACAGGGGAGCTCTCAGCTGGCATGTTCCATAGTCTACCACACCTCAGAGACCACTGGACTTTGAGGTGATTCGCTCTGGAGAAACACTATCTGTGGGGGGCATGAAGGAAGGCAGCTAGAGGAGACCATCTGCTCCTTAAGGGTGGGTCTATGCCTCGTTCTTGCTCTCTCCCACAGCACACATGAAAGTTGTGAGTGGAGAGTTACCAGAATTACACTGAATAATTTGCTTACTGGTGAATTGTTTATCGTCTCTTCTTAGAAAGCAAATAGCAGGAGCTTCACCTGTTTGTTCAATGCTATATTCCCAAAGTCAAGAACGATACCTGTCACTAATGGCCCCTCCAACAAATGTTGGTTAAATGAACGACCATCCATTGAATTGGATTATACTTCACTCAACAATATCAAGCATCTGCTCTGTATTCCTTAGCCTTAGGAGAAAAGTAGAATATCTGCCTTTCTTGCCCTTGTCTGAGAGGATTTAAATTTAAAAATGTAAGAAACTTTAGTAATGTTCTCAGGTAACTTTGGACTCATGACTAAATTCAGTCAGTTCAGTCAGGGCTGAGGAGACTGTGAGCAGCTAGCTAGATTTCCTCTTCCCTCCTTTCCCCAGCCCCCCCCACCCAGCCTCAGCCCTGCAATTAGCGATTTCCTGATTAAGCAACACGCTTTGAGTAGGAACAGACTCAATGGCACCCTAACAACACCTAGTAGGGTGAGGCCAAAAGATAGAGAGGAAACAGAGTTTCCAGTCAGTAAATTGTGCCTAGCTCTAGGGAGGATTTTGTAATCGAGGAAAAACGCAATACTGCCAACAGTCCTAGTCTTTACCTATTAAAGGGAGGTCAAGGCCTCTCAGGAAAACTCTGTAGACTATTCCCCACATGTCTTATGACCCTACATGGAACTTTTATATGTAACTCCAGAGGGCTCTCAGTCCCTGGAGGTATAAGGTTCAGTGGATCCCAACCCTGTTCTGCAGTGAGTATTGGAATTCTCTCTGTTCTGCTTTTAAAAAATGAAACAGCTATAAAAATTAGAAATATAGAAATGAGTTGGATTATGCTACACATGATTACCTAGCCTCAAAGAGCCACTAGGTTTGAGATAAAGCAGGAAGGTTTGGCATCTTTTTAATGGAGTTGTCCTGCCACCTTGTGGTGAATGTGCATAGCTGCAACTAGTAATTTAGACAAAGGATTTTTAACATTTAGAAGACGATTTAATTTTTTAATTATTCCATACTTTTTAAAGAAACTCTACTTTGTTAATAAAGCTAATGACACAGTGCAATGTCCATTATAGATATATTTTTTAATTCTAATCTCTAGTTGTTGTTTAGTGCCATTGAGTGGGTTCCAATTCTTAGGGATACTGTACAGGGTTTTGGGGGAGTGGCTGGTAGATTTGACCTGCCAGACCTTTTGGTTTGCAGTCCAGTGTTTATCCTACAGTGCCAAAACAGGAGTCCCTGATCTCTAGTTATTGTTGAGTGCCATCGAAGTTGAATTGGTTCCAAATTTAAGGGTTTCTGAGGAGCCCCTGGTGAGTTTGAACAGCTGACCTTGCACTTCAAACCAACCTTAAAGGTCGAGTGCTTATCCAACAGTGCCACACCAAGACTCCTGATCTATAGTGGTGGTGGTAGTGGTTATGTGCTATGGAGTCGGTTCCAACTCATAGCGACCCTGTACAGGGTTTCCAAGGCTGTAAATCTTTTCCGGGAGCAGAAAGCCTCATCTTTCGCCCGCAGTGCGGCTGGTAGGTTCAAACTGCCAACCTTGAAGTTCGCAGCCCGATTCATAACCACTACGCTACCAGAGCTCCTTCTGATCTATAGTAGAAAGCCCTATATCTAGTTTACTTTCTCAAAAGACTTAATTAAGGGCAAAACCTGTCATTTCATCTCACTTCTCCACCAGTGAGTGAGCTGTGAAAAGTCAGGACTTTATGGATGGTGGCTAGCACTACTGTCCATGAAAATGGAAAAAATTACACATCAGTTCTTTCTGCCTCTTTGTCTTTCTTTTGGCCATCAATACAAAGGAGTCCTGGTGTGGCTCTGCTGGTTAATGCTCTGGACTGCAAGGTTGGTTTGAAACGTAAGGTCAGCGGTTCAAGCTCACCAGTTGCTCCTAGGAAACCCCCATACAGGATCTTTATGAATTGGAACAGCCTTGATGGCACTTCACAAATTTTCATTTTGGAGTCGTGGTGTAATTCTGGACTGAAAACCACATGGCTGGCAGTTCAAACCCACCAGCTGCTCTTTGGAAACCCTACACAGGGCACCATGAGTTGGACCTGACTCAATGACACTTAGCAACAACATTTTCCTTTTGGTCTGTGGTGTTTAAAAAGAACATTAAATCACAGCCACTTTTTCTATGGAGTATCATTTTTTATAAATGCTTGGACTTACTTCCTCAGTCACATGTAATGTATATGATTATATATATGGGGAAATATGCATATAATACAGGAAATATGCTGCATATGCAAGAAAAGATAGGTAATTTGCCTTGTAATTGTTAAGTGCCACATATATGTGAGTCTATCTCAGTGAGTCTAATTTGTGGTCTGGTGCTGTAGGGTCAGCACTGGTCGGCAGTTCAAAGCCACCAACTGCTCCTCTGAAACCCTATACAGGGTCATTTTGAGTCGGAACCACCTTGACGGCACTTAGCAACAATTGTATAATCATGGTGAGGTGCTGTAGGATAAACACCGGACTGCTAACCACAGGTTGGCAGTTTAAACCTATCATCTGTTCCACTGGAGAAAGATGAGGCTTTTTGCTCCCGGAAAGATTTACAGCCTCAGAAACACTAAACAGGCTTGCTATGAGGTAGAACAGTCAATGGCACTGGGATTGCCTGATTCAATCTTAAAACTCAAAAACCAAAATCACTGCCATCAAGTTGATTCCAATTTATGCGACCTCTGTATAGGGTCTCCGAGGCTGTAAATCTCTATGGGAACAGAAAGCCTCAGCTGTCTCTGAACTGCTGACCTGGTAGTTAGCAATCCAGTGCTTATCCTAATTCACCACCACGGCTCCTTACTCAATCTCATTGTTGTTGTTGTTAAGTGTCATTGAGTCAGTTCTGACTCATAGTGACCCAATATAGGGTTTCCAAGGAGTGGTTGGTGAGTTTGAACCACCGACTTTGCAGTTCAAACCAACTTGTAATCCTGTGCTTATCTTACAGCACCACACCTATTCAATCTTCTTGTTGTTGTTGTGAAGTGTTGTTGAGTCGGTTCCGACCCATAGTGACCCTGTATAGGGTTTCTGAGGAGCAGCTGGTGAGCTTGAACCGCCAACCTTACAGTTCAAACAGCTTTGCAATCTGGCGCATTAACCCACAGCGCCACACCAAGACTCCTATTGACCCCCCAAAGCCATATGCCTATGTCTAATATCTTAATTTCACTTGCAGTGAACAGGAAGTTTCATGCATTTCATTTTGAAGAGAGGGTTTTAACTTATGTATGCAGTTGACCCAGCAAAGAGGAAGTGTTTGCAACCATTTGCCCCAAATAAAAATTGGTGAGGTTAATTAAGCCTATATAAAAAAAAAAAGTTGAAAATGAGGGTGACATCAGGAAAACAAATCATTTGACAAAAGAGGAAGGTCTAAGAAGGTGAACAAAGCAAGGATATTCCAAAGTAAAAAAGATTTGAGCCATATTAGCACCCCCAGTTTGCATACCAGCCCCGAAGCCCATACCATCTGTCAGGCAAACAGTTGCTAAGTATAGTTGGTGGAAAGCTAAAGACTGACAGAGCAGAGAAAGAAAGCAAGAGAGCGCAGACACACATATACACATTCCATTTTTAAATCTTTTTAATAATTTTTCAATCATTTCTTTGTTTACACCTACATGATTCAGGAAGAGCAAGAACATTTTAAGAAGAAGTTAGAAAGCGTGAATATAAATATTTAAATGATTTGAAGACAATTCAGTGAAACACTTTCATTCCGCTCATGCCACTGATAGACCAGAACCTGAGGTAATTTTATTATGATGATGATAATGATTAAGTTTATACAAAGTAACCGGTGTTGTTTACCAACAAATCAGTTAACAATACCTTCTCCCCTGCATCAGAGACCGCCAAGTCGGTTACCACACCCTGGATCCCGGGATCCACATCCCAACAGCCTCTTCCTCCTGTCCCTTCTGTGATTGGTGCTGCAAGTGCACCGTTGAGACAGAAACAAAAAGGACAGCATCAAACATCAGCCAGCAGACTGAGCTCTTTTGTACACAGCGGACACACATTTTGAAATAAGAGTTATCACAAAATAGTACCTACTGAATGCAGGCCCTGCCCTCATGGAGCGTACACACTAACAGGTACCAAACTGATAAACTCTATCAATCATCATCTATATCATCATTTTGTTTTCTTTCCTTTTTGTCCTGAAGTGTTCCTGAGATGTTTGCAGGAGAGGGAGAGTCAATTTCCCAGTTCACTTTCACTGAACAGGGAAAAGCCTACCAGGGAAGATGAAATTTGAAACAGGTGCTGGAGAGCAAACACAAGGTATGACTCTAAGGAGACAGGTCTGTAAAAACACTTCTTGGGGACCAGACCAAGAGCAGTAGATGATTAACAGGGTTTTGAAGGAAGAAGTCTAAAGAGTGAAACATCTTTCTAAGAAGGGTGCAGATAGTTAATACTGCAGTATCTCAGAGATTTACACAAACCGAGACCTTCTTCCTATCTCTGAACAGCTTACTTTAAAACAATTTCCAAATGTCTTTTTTTCTCACATTTCTTGCTTATGCTTCAGATTCACATCCACAGAAACAAGTCCAGCAGTGTTTTACAAGTATCAAATACAAATTTCACTATCCACCATTCTCCCTTAGTGGGACTTTATTAATTCATTTATCCAGGTGAACTTAGTTAAAAACATACACTCTTTTTAAACAGTTTCACACATGAGATTTCACTGGAACTGTGTCTAATAAGGACCCAGATGAAGTAAATCTTCACTTTCTGACACTATGGATACAACTTCTTGTATTCAGTGCTGTCTTCACTTCTTATTCGGAAATACTTTTTGCGGTTATTTAGATTTATCAAATTATTTGTCTTCCGAAAACAAAAGTCTTGTAGCACTCCAAAGGACCCTTGTAATACAAGGAATTGGGGTTTTGCTTTTTTATTTAGACAGATATCGTTCTTCAAGTGATACCTGCTAAAAAACAAAGTTCATTTTGTAAAACTGGTCAATGTTTATTCATCAACAGGGAGGGGAAATTATATAGATATTTTATAGATTTTTGTTTTCTGTCACTAAAAAAATTGGCCTCACTACAAGGTATTGTTGTGGTTATGTGCCATCGAGTCGTTTCCAACTCATATAGAGACCCTGTGTAGGGTTTCAGAGGAGTGGCTGGTGAGTTTGAACCGCCGACCTTGTGGTCCTGCACTTATCCTACAGTGCCACAGGCATCACCAAAGAATTAGCTCTTCTCCTTGTCTTCCTCCACTATAGATTTGTGGATGAACAAATGGGGAAAGGAGTGGATGGCAAGCTCGACTAAGACGGACAAATGGAGTGGAGGTCAGGTCTCCGTTCCTGTATCCAACTTTGAGCTGGTATTAATAAGGGCTCTCCAGTAGTGAGAAGTTTACAAAAAGTGGAATATAGTCATCTACCGGAGCAGGTGTGTTGAGAATGAAAAATATGGGACCTTGATTGGTCTCTAATGTCAGACTGACGGGGGGGACCCAACTCAGTAGGAGCCAGTCCTCAAAGCCACTCAGTTACACATGTTAATTTCAGCCATTTTATAATGAGAACCAAACTTTTGTAGCACTATGTTTCAATCCAGCCCAGAACTGAACAGGTTTGGGAAGTACAAGACCCCACCAACTTGACCCTACACCTCCCCTACATGAATCAAATATCAGACCACTAAAACAGCCTCTCACATTTTCTAGCAGAGCCAGTGGTGTCCCCTTGGGACTCTCCCAAGTCACCGGAGATGTGGTTACAGAGAGGGAGAACCTTCCCTGCCTGCCCCTGTGCTTTACGGAGGGAAGATGCAGTCCTGAGCGTGAAGCAGCTGCAGCCAAAGGAAAGCGCCTCTCCAGCTGTCCCTGGGGCGAGGCGGAGAGCCACAGAGCCGCAGATCCCCGCTTGTATTTTTAGATAGAACTTCCTCAACAGTATACTGAGACTCTCCTTTCAAAGGGAAGTCATCCAGGGCAGTACTACTCCCTGATGAATTTGGGCTCTGTAGAAATGGAAAACATATGTGCCCATTCTGAAAATAGAAGCTCAGGATTAGATAAAGCAGAACTAGAGAGGGAGGAAATACATTATTGGTCCTGGGTTTTTTGTTTTTTATTTAATGTATAGAATTAAAAAGCTACACTTCATTTCTATATATCTTAATTAATCAGAGAAATTCGAAGGCAATTTAATCCTCCAATCTCTAGTTACTAAAGACATTTTATCTGGTGTATATAAGACCATATGTATGTAAAGTTTTTATCACCCATACGTGATGGAAAATGTAATCTTTATGTTCTTACCTCAGAGACCTTGATGGTATTAAATACAGGTCTGGGTCACTTAACATTTGTTTGGACAAGGGGAGATGGCATGCTGTCTGGGGTCCCCATGAGGGTTTGGTTTAGTTTGGTGTGTAAGGGAAAGCATTTCTCCTTTTGTTTACTGTTTGTTTCTAATAGTCTTAAAGAGCCCAAACCCAGAGTCTTGCAGCACTGATCCCCGATGGAACACAGACAGGTGAGGTAGGGGACGTGGCTGTGGGACAGGGCTCTGATGGGCAGGCAGTGGCGGCTGCTCCTGCTGCTCTGGTAGGTGGAACAGAGTGGGCTGGGCATGCTCAGTCCCCTCCTCACTTACTCCCTCTGACTCTGCTCTTGCCACCGTCCTCATTCTCTCAGCTCTACCACCACCAGCGGCCACTCCTCTGGCCTCTGGTATCAGCTCCAGCAGCAGAGGGGGCAGCAAGGACAACCAGCAGGGGGCTCCCATAAGGTTTTAATAGGGCATTCTCTCAGGGTCCAAATCACATAATGTCCTATTTCACAGAATGTTTCATGAACTTTAAGCAATGAATACTTAACATTTACATCTCAACTACACACATAAAAGTATCATTAAGTTCTAAGACACCACCTTGACCTGATCTCTACATCTCATTTTCCTGTATTTAACATACACTGAAGCAATGTTTTAATAAATGAATCCTAACCTGAAATGTGATGATGCAGGCCAAGAATCTTCTCATACTTCTGCTTTTAGCTATACTATCAAATCTCTTATGTGCGTGTGTTTCTACTTTTCTGGGTTGGTGTACTTTTCTCAGTTGGTGTCAATGAGACTGAGCTTGACATACTTTCTCTAATGGACTGTAGGAACTCTTTTTGAAAAGCCAAAAAGTAAAAAGTTCTTTCCAAACTATATTCAGTAAAATGTATAAAAAAAGACAAGGGTAGGGCTTGGGGAGAGCACAAAGCTTGCCTGGGAAACAGAGCAGTATACGCATCAACAACTCTTTCTGTCCTTGTTCTCAGAACACCAGTATCATCATTATATGTAAAGTAGGTTAGCATATTTATTCTCAGGTTTTTGCCTAATTTATAAAAATACATCAAGCTCTCTCCAAATAGGGACAAAGGCATTGAGTCTATTTTACATTACCACTCTATGTGCAGGGGTCATTCAGACTCATTAAAAAGGCCTGAATTGTCACTTACAAGTAGTAGACAGTCCTGGTCCATCACTAGTACTAAGCATATCTGTCAAGCCAGATTCTGCACCACTCTTCTCTGATGATTGATATCCATCACCCATTTGTGAAGCCTTCACAGCAACTTGTAGGCTCTCAGCTAAGAAGAAGAACCACACACATACACACACAAAAAACACAACACAAAGCAAATAAATAAAGATGCATATACAATAAATAACATGGATAGATCACTTAATCTAGACTGTTGTTGTTGTTATGTGCCACTGAGTCAGCTCCAACTCATTGTTATGTTGTTAGGTGCCAAGTTGGTACAGACTCATAGCGATCTTATGCACAACAGAACAAAACACTGCCTAGTCCTGGGCCAACTTCACAATCATTGCTATGCTTAAGCCAATTGATACTGCCACTGTGCCAATCCATCTCGTTGGGGGTCTTCCTCTTTTTCTCCGATCCTCCACTTTATCAAATATGATATTCTTATCCAGTGACTGGTCCTTCATGATAATATGTCCAAAGTATGAGAGACGAAGTCTGGAAATCCTGGCTTCCAAGGACCACTCTGGCCACATTTCTTCCAACACAGATCTAATTTGTTCTTTTGGCAGTCCACGGTACTTTCAGTATTCTCCTCCAATATTGTAACGCAAAAGTATCGATTTTTCTACGGTCTTCCTTATTCACTGTCCAACTTTCACATGCATATGAGGTTACTGAAAACACCATGGCTTGCGTCAGGCTGACATCTTTGCTCTTCAACACTTTAAAAAGGTTTTGTGCAAGATATGTAGAACTCTTCTTGAATTCTACAGCAGGAACAAACAGAGGTGCTTATGGTAGCCAAATGATGTGAGGCATGGGCTTGGCAAACCAGCTAGTCAGCAGCTGAGTGGTGGCTAAGGGGGCAGTATGGTGGTCAGAGCAGCATGAGTGGCTGTAACCAAGTTTTACAGGAAAACTCCAGTGACTTTCAATCAAACGTTGCATATATAGCCAAGAAGCAGTGAACAGCAGCTACTACAGTAATGGAAGCCGTACATACACAGACGTAAAGGTAATAGGACGGATGTCTAGCATGTCCAATCTGAGTGGTGGGTGGGGAATAGAACCCTGATCACTGAATCTTGGGCAACATTTTTTATTTTTTTAAGAAAAAGGGAAAACAAACAATAGTTTAACAGTTTTGAAATACAAGCTTGTGAGATTCATGCTTGCTCTAAGTGGAACTCAGAATTATTTTGAAAATATGTTTTTGAACACAAAAATGAAGTTTTAGCAAACAATAACTGTTAAACAATTTTCAGCATTTCTCAAGTTAATTGTAGATTGTATTTAAGCAGTAAGCATATTTAGGTTAAAGCAGTTCAATTATGTTAAATGTTGTTCTTATACCACATCATATTGAACACTGCATGTTGAAAGACATCCCGTTTTTTGTAAAACTCAGATATAGGAGCTGTGTCTACAATTAAAAGTAAAACATTTGGCATGTTTGTTAATTCTAGTTTTATTTAATAACCTGATAGCACTTAACAACAACAAGGCATGTAAGTTTAAGGTTTTTTTTTTTTTTTAAGTTAACTGGGAAAATGACATGTAATACCAATACTTTAGGATTTTGGTCTTGGTATTTGTATGAAATTCTGAGGTCTTGATTTAAATCTTTCATTGTATTGTGATTTCCTTTTAGCTGTATTGCGCTAAGTGAAATTTGTCAAATAAATCTTTTAAAAACTGCAAAAAAAAAAAAAAGGTCTTGTGTACCAAAGTTGCCCAATGCAATACATCATTTAATTTCCTGGCTGCTGCTTCCATGAGTGTGGATGGCTGATCCAAGCAAAATAAAGTCATTGACAACTTCAATCTTTTCTCCATTTATATGGATGTTATTTATTGATCCAGTAATGAGGATCTTTGTGCTTTTTTTCACATTGAGGTGCAACCCATACCGAAGGCTGTGGTCTTTGATCTTCATCAATAAGTATTTTAAGTCCTCTTGGCTTTCAGATAGCAAGGTTGTATCATCTGCATTACCCAGGTTGCTAATGTGCCTTCCTCTACTCCTGAGGTCACATTTTTCTTCATATAATCCCATTTCTCAGATTATTTGTTCAGCATACAGACTGAATAAATAGGGTGAAAGAATGCAACCCTGGCACACACCTTTCCTAATTTTAAACCATTCAGTGTTCCCATGTTCTATTCTAACAACTGCTTCTTGATCTATGTCTAGGCTCCTCATGAGCACAATTAAGTGTTCTGGAATACTCATATTTCTCAGTGTTGTCCATAGCTTGTCATGATCCACAGAATCGAAAGCCTTTGTGTAGTCAATAAAGCACAGGTAAACAGCTTTCTGGTATTCTCTGCTTTCAGCCAAGATCCATCGGGAATCAGCAATGATATCCCTCATTCCACGGCCTCTTCTGAATCTGGCTTGAACCTCTGGAAGTTCTCTGTTAATGTATAATTGTAGCCATTTCTGTATTAAAATGTTATTTGCATGGATTATCAGTGATATTGTCCAATGATTTCTCTGCATTCCATTGAGTTACCTCTCTTTGGAATGGGCACAAATATTGATCTCTTCCAGTCAGTTGGCCAGGTTGGAGCTATTGTCTTCCAAATTTCTTGGTATAGATGAATGCCGCTTCACTTTGTTGAAAGATTTCAATTTGTAGTCCATCAATTCCCAGTGCCTTCTTCTTTGCCAGTGACTTCAAGGACCTTGGACTAATTCCTGCAGGATCACTGACTTTTGATCATATGCTACCTCTTGAAAAGATTGAACATTGACCATCTCTTTTTGGTACTATGACTCAGTATATTCCTTCCATCTTCTTTTGAGGCTTTCTTCACCAGTCAGTATTTTGCCATAGAATCCTTCAATACCACAAGTCGAAGTTTGAATTTTTTCTTCAATTCCCTCAGCTTGAGAAATGCTGAGCATTTTCTTCCCTTTTGGTATCTAACTCTAGGTCGTTGCACATTTTGTTATAATATTTGACTTTGTCTTCTCGAGGTGACCTTTGAAATATTCTGTTCAGCTCTTGTGTCTCCTCACTTCATCCATTCGCTTTAATTCTACTCTGGAAAGCAAGTTTCAGAGTCTCTTCTGACATCCATTTTCCAACTCATAGTGACCCTATATAGGGTTTCCGAGGAGCATCTGGTAGGTTTGAACTGCTGACCTTAGCAGTCCAGTGCTTATCCTATAGTGTCACACTAGGACTCCAAATCCAGATAAGGGATTGACAAACTGTATTTGGCCAGCACTTCTTACACGGCTTGTTGTTGTTGTTAAGTGTCGTTGAATCGGTTCCGACCCATAGCGACCCTGTACAGGGTTTCCGAGGGTGTAAATCTTTACGGGAGTAGAAAGCCTCATCTTTCTCCCGCGGAGCAGCTGGTAGTTTCAAACCACTGACCTTAAGGCTCGCAGCCCGATTCGTAACCACTACGCTACCAGAGCTCCTTTCTTACACGGCTTAGGAGTTCAGAATAGTTTTGACATTTTCCAACGTTGTTTTATAACAAAAAAACAGACACAAAGTAGTATTTGCGAAAGAGACTGTATGTGGACAGCTAAGCCTAAAATACTTATTACCTGGCTCTTTACAGAAAAAGAAACTTTCCCAGACCTGTGAGTTGGACTAGTACTTTTAGCATCTTTTGATGATAAAGAGTTAATTCAATGGTGAAGCATAAATCCATTATATTAAAAACTTTTTAGATGCAACTTTCATTGAACAACTTCCTGTAATTCACTTAATTTTAATATAATGTTATTGTTGTTATGTGCTGTGGAGTTGGTTCCGACTCATAGTATAAATCGTTATGGGAGCAGAAAGCCTCATCTTTCTCCTGCAGAACAGCTGGTAGTTTCAAACTGCTGACCATGAGATTAGCAGCCTGATTTGTAACCACTATGCTACCAGAGTACTAGGCATTAAAATTTTTAAACCTGCTACTCTGAAATATTAGCTATTTCTCAAGAGTAATTCACAAAACTTTCCTAAAAATACAGGCTACCAACTTCCACCCCAGACCTACAGGATCACACTCCCCATGGGGAGAGAACTGGATTTGCACCATGGGATACCCAGGAGTGGATTATCCAATGTGTGGCTCAGTCAGCATCTCAGTGGCTCTGGGATCTCTTTTGAGTAGCTGGATGCACCACACCTCCTGGTACCTCCACCAAGTGCTGGGCCAGAGGAACTAAAGCAGATGGAGTCACATCAATGCAGAAGTGAAAACTTAGGATGGGGATGTAGGGAATGTGTGTAGGAGAGGAGGAGGAAGGTCCAGCCACTGGCTAAAATGGAGAAGGAGTGAATTATTCAATAAAGACTTTAACAAGGCTAATGACCCTTCACTATCCTGTATTATTTGAAAGTCCTTTAGATTTTATTTTTAAAATGTATCTTGAACATTCCCAATTTCTCTCTACTTCTATTGCCAATAGTCTTAGCCTAGAGCAGGGGTGGAGAACTTGCACCCCACAGGCCGTATGTTGTTGTTGTTATGTGCCATCGAGTCAGTTCTGACCCATAGCGACCCTGTATAGGGTTTCCGAGGGTGTAAATCTTTACGGGAGTAGAAAGCCTCATCTTTCTCCCGCGGAGCAGCTGGTAGTTTCGAACCGCTGATGTTACAGTTCGCAGCCCGATTCGTAACCACTACGCTAAGGCCCTTGAAATCATTTGGTCTGGCCCTGCCAAGGAAAATGCAGTTCGAGCCGTCAAGTTGGTTCTGACTCATAGCGACCCAATATCGGGTTTCCTAGGACCAGCTGGTGAGTTCAAACTGTTGACCCTGCAGTCCAGCGCGGCTCCTACAGTGCCACAGGTGAGTTACTTAAATGTTTGATCAAATACAACAGGCTAATTTTCAAGTTGATACTTTTGTATGGCCTGTGAATGATGTTACAAATTTTGGCAGAAACAGGATTCCCTACCCTTGGCCTAGACCAAGAAGACACTAACATCTTGTATCTCATCAAGTTGGTTCTCCATCAGAAGCCACTGTTCTTGTTGAGACCGAAATCATCAGATCCCGTCAAACCCACACACGAAAAAGCTTCCAACGACTTCCCATCACATTTGTAATAAACTCTTATTTGTTTATGTTTAACCATGGTCTTCAGTGATCTGCTCCCATTAAGACTGTTGTTGTTAAGTGCCATCAAGTTAGTTCTGACCCATAGTGACCCAGTATAGAATTTCTGAGGAGCAGCTGGTGAGATTGAACCGCCAGCCTTGTGGTTCAAACCGACCTTGACATCCAGCGCATTTACACACAGCACCAGGACCGAGAAAATCTTATAGGAGAGTTTGGACTTTATTTTGTTCTGCTATATCCTCGGCACCAAGACCATACTACATGGCACATAGTAGCTGTTCAATAAACATTTGCTGAATCTGTCAAATCATATCCTTTTTGAAGTAACTTACCTTCCTTCAGTGCTGCTGCCAGTAATGAGGCTGCCTGGGGAGGCTCTCCTGGGTCCGGTTTAATGAGAAGGTGGGGTTCTAGATGAACATCCTCGAATCCACTCAATTCTCCAAGTTGAGCATAGATTTGCAGCTTCTCCTCCAAATACATGCAAATTTGCTGGTCTTGGTTACTGAGTATTTCTATAAAATATTATTTATCATAAAAGTTATCACTCACATCAGTAAAACGACTAATAGGAAAACCCAGGTTGCAAGATAAAGATGTTGCTAGTTAGCAAGCAGTCTGATCTACCAGGTGTTCCTGGGTAGTACTAATGGTTACCATACTTGGTTGCTAACCAAAAAGTTGGCAGTTTTGAGTCAACCCAGAGGGACCTCAGAAGAAGGATCTGGTAATGGACTTCCAAAAAAAGCAGCCAATGCCTATCTTATGAAGCATGGTTCTACTTGGACGCACATGGGATCGTCAGATCGACTTGACAGCACTTGTCTATTTTCTCACAGGAAAGTCACAAGTTTGTTCAGTGGGATAGATCCTGTGTCAAGTTCCGACTATCCCACTTCATGACTGTGACCTCCCTAAAGTAAGCACTCAATAAATGATTATTCTCTTTCTCATTCTCCTACTTCAGAAAAACTTGCAGAACTCTACTCTGTGCATCCAGGCTGTTTTCTATTAAGACTAAACAGTAAGCTCTGGAATGCAAATTGAGGCAGCCTGGACCAAGCTCTGTGAATACCCACAAAGGAAAACAATGCAAAGACCTGACTCTCCGCTGGCTGCAGCCAGTCTTGACCAAAACCAAATAGGCTGGTTTATGTTGTTTCTAAACATCCAATTTCCTTGACTGTCTTTGCATGAATCACTTCCCTCTGATTTCAACATGCCATAGAATTCTTTGAGCTCATGGGGACCTTAACTAGACTAGAATCGGGGTATCTCAGCCCTGGGTGCCTCAGGATCACCTACAAGAGTTTACAGCAACAAATCCTACACCCAGTCTCCACACAGACTGTGATTCTGTTGGGTGAGGGTGGGGTCCAGGCAGAAAGTGGGAGCGACAGTCACCTTATTTGAGCACTTCTCAAAGGGCTACTTTTGGAGTCCTGGTGTGGTGCTGTGGGTTAATGCACCAGAGAGCAAAGCCGTTTGAACTGCAAGGTTGGTGGTTCAAGCTTACCAGCTGCTCCTCAGAAACCCAATATAGGATCACTATGGGTCAGAACTGACTCAACGGCACTTAACAACAACAACAACAGGCTACTTTGTTTGTGGAAGGGGTGCGGAGGAAGGTGGACCTCAGCTGGTCAGAACTGACTTAGTCATTTAGTCAGAAGCCTCAGTTCATGACACTTGGGCTTCCCACTGTGCTGGCTAATTTTATGTCAGCTTGTCTTGGGTTGACCAAACAGCAGACTAGCTGTTGTTCCATATCATAATATCATGTCATCTAATTAAACAATCAGTGGAAAGGGGAGTTTCCTTAGGAAGTGTACTATCTCCAGATTGTATAAATAGATGTTTTAGCAGCACTCGCTCTCTCTTTTCACTCTGCACTCTTCCTGTTGTATCTTGGGATGCCAGCCAGCAAAAATCTTCAGCCTGCTGTTTGACCTACAGATTGTAGACTTGCCAGACCCGACAACACGTAAGCCAATCCCTTGAAGTAAATCAATCTCTTTCTCTTTCTGTATATGTATATATGGAGAGGTATGTGTGTGTATGTATCTCACTGGTTCTGTCTCTCTAAAGCACGCTAAGACACCCAGCATACAAGGAGAATGTCCCCGCCAGGGAGTCAAGATGCCCACACCATACCTTGACACTGCTGAATTTTGGTCACTCTTGCTTCAGCTTTCCGCCTCTCTTCATCAGATTCACTTGTCCTTCCCCCTTCTTCTTCTGGGCAACTTTAAAAGACAACAGTCAAGGGAAACAACTGAAACTAAATCCAGATATCTTTAGGTTCATTAGAAAGATGTGGGAACTTGGCAACAGGACTGTTCATAAAACATTTGGAGAATTCATCATGCAATCCAGCCAAGTGATTTGGGTTCCTAGAGTATATAAAGGACCTTGTATAAGCGAACTACAAAAAGATCATGGAAAAAGGCTCTGGTGGCATAGTGGCTATGCATTGGGCTGCTAACCTCAAGGTCAGCAGTTCGAAGCCACCAGCTACTCCATAAGAGAAAGATGAGGATTTCTGCTCCCATAAAGATTTCTAGCCTCAGAAACATATATAGGATCACCACGAGTTGGAACTGACTCCATGGCATACAACTAACCACTACACACACTCACACATACTCTGCACAATACCAAGTCTAGCATTAGGTAAAACCAGAATAAGAATTTTTGCCTTCTACTACATTTGGGTTCTGGTGTGGCACTGTAGGATAAGCACTTGACTGTAAGGTTGATTTGAACCACAAGGTAGGCAGCAGCTCCTTGGAAACCCTATACAGTGTTGCTATGAGTCAGAACCAACTCAACAGCATGTAACAAGAACAACAACATTTGGGTAGTCCCATTCCTAATGGGGTGGCCTGGTGTGGCACAGTAGGATAAACACTGGATTGCTAACCAAAGGGTTGACAGTTCCAACCTACCAGCCACTCCTCACAAACCTTATACTTATAGGATCACTAGGAGTGGGAACTGACTTGATGGACTTAACAACAGTTCTTAATGGGGTAGAGTAAAAGGCTAGGAGGGGATGAGGGTAGAGCACTAGATTGGGCAGGGTGTGGTGAAGTGGAGGACAGTTTATATAAAGTCACATAAAGTTCAAAATCCAACAAATCAAATTACCATTAAGAATAATAATCACTCTCCACCCTTTACCATCCACTTATAAAAATGGTCCTTGTACAAGTAATGAGTAAATGAGCATAGAACACTTAGGTCCACCAATCTAAAAGTATTTATTGACTGACTTGTAGATGCTAGGCACACAGAGAAACATAAAACACGGTCCTGCCCTCAAGGAGCTTTCAATCTAATTGTACACAAACATATTATACATGAAAAGATAAGAGCTTCATTTACATGACAAGCGCCAAGTAAATCTTTTAAGAGGAGGTGTTAAAAGAATTGTAGGTAAGGAAGAGACCACCCTGACTGAAGAGGTCTTCATGAAGGAGGTGAGACCGTGAGGTGCACCAAAGACAGGCAGGACTCAAGATGGCAGAGGGCAGGTGAGGGCATTACATGCAGGGAGGCATGGAGGACAGAGCTGCAGATGAGGAGCTATTGCAGGCAGGCGCAGGGGGCAGTGAGCAGATCATTCTGGCTGAGGCAGAGTTTTCATGCAGGAAAACATGGTTAGAATATTTTTTCCAATTGAACAAGACCATTTCACAGACAATGGACATGAGGAACCGTTACCTTTCGACAGCCTGCTGGATCCGTCGCATCCAGTTATTTCGTTCCTCCTTGGAATTCGTATGAATTTCATACATTTCAGGACCAGAAGATGAAGCACTGATGAGAAACATTCCCCTCTCCTCGTTAGCAACTTCTCTAGCAATAAGCTTCTGCAGAGAGACAACGGATGGCTTCTGATCCTACATAAAACACAAAGATGTGCAGAGAAACAGCATCACATTGAAGGTCAGGGTCACACAAAGGACACTTGCTAAGGAAAGCAACAGTAGTAGACACATTTTTTTTCACCTCCACACTTTTCAAAAGAGTTAGAGATGTCGTGAAGGTCTCAGAGAGAACACGAAGAAGATGGGAAAGGAAAATGTCTATCCTTAAGACTTGGTGGAACAAAAGGATAACTTTTAAAAAGAGAAAACCATCAGAGAGGTAGGAAAAACATCAAAATGCAGGGGTCAAGGATGGCAGGATTTTTCTAGAAGGAATACATTGTACATCACATATTGCAAACAGATTGAGACATGGAGGACCTAGAAGAGCCTATTTGAATTTGTCAGTTAATAGGAACACAGTTTCAATAAGGTGGTGGGAGCAGAAACAAAGGAAGAGATGTAATCATGACATGTATGAAAAGGGCAGGACCTTAGATTCCCCAGGCATAACCTTTTACACATACTTTGTAGTAACGTGGCAGGATAATGCACTGGACCACAAGATCAGTTTGAAGCTCAATGTCAGCAGTTCAGGTTCGCCTGCCACTCCTTGGAAACTATGTATAGCAGGGGTGGGAAACCTTCCCTCTGCCAAAATTTATATCATCATTCACGAGCCATACAAAATTATCAACATTTAATTAACTCACTCCGAATGTAAGGAGCTCTGCTAGCATAGTGGTTACAAATCAGGCTGCGAACCGCAAGGTCAGCAGTTAGAAACTACCAGCTGTTCTGCGGGAGAAAGATGAGGCTTTCTGCTCCCGTAAATATTTACAGCCTTGGAAACCCTGTACAGGGTCGCTATGAGTCGGAACCGACTCCACGGCACATAACAACAATGACAAATGTAAGTCCTGGTGTGGTGCTGTGGGCTAATCCACCAGACTGCAAAGCCGTTTGAACTGCAAGGTCGGCGGTTCAAGCTCACCAACTTCTCCTTGAAAACCCTATACAGGGTCACTATGGGTCAGAATTGACTTGACAGCACTTAACAACAACAACAACAACATGATGGCTGTGACGTTATGGGTTAAGGCACTAGACTGCAAAGTCTGTTTGAACAGCAAGGTTGATGGTTCAAGCTCACCAGCTGCTCCTTGGAAAACCCCCTATACTGGGTCACTATGGGTCGAAATTGATTCAACAGCACTTAACAACAATAACAACAATGTAATGGCTAAGGAGTTCTGGTAGTGTAGTGGTTACAAGTCAGGCTGCTAATATCAATGTCAGCAGATCAAAACTACCAGTGGTTCTGTGAGAGAAAGATGAGGCTTTCTGCTCCCATAAAAACTTGTTGTTGTTAAGTGCCATCGAGTCAATTCTGACCCATAGTAACCCTGTATAGGGTTTCCAAGAGGTGGCTGGTGAGCTTGAACTGCCAACCTTGCAGATCAAACCAACTTTTCAGTCCAGCGCATTAACCCACAGGGCCATACAGCCTTGGAAACCCTATGCATGGTTGCTCTGAGTTGGAACTGACTCCACAGCACATAACCACCAACCACCACCAATGTGATGGCTAGAACTGTGGTTGCCTTGGAAGGCCAGATCAAATGATTTTGAGGGCTTTATATAGCCCACGGGCCAGAAGTTTCCACACCCCTGCTGTACAGGGTTGCTCTGAGTTGGAACTGACTCGACAGCACTTAAATGGTTTTTCTCATCACCAATGCTTGTAGGAATGAGTCTAGTTTTTCTTTGTAGCTGAGGATGTTGCCTGTAGAATTTATGATTTAACGTATTTCCATCAGAGAGGAAAAGGAAGCAAGAGGACAGCTTTTATAAATGAGGGTGGGGGTTCTAAAATTCTGAATCCAAATCAGGATCAAATCACCTCTTCTGCTAATGTTTTCTTCTTGTCACTAAATGCCACTGAGTCCATTCCAAGTCATAGCAATCCTGTATAGGGTTTCCAAGGAGCGACTGGTGATTCGAGCACTTATCTAGGTTCCTTTAATTCATTGTCCTAATTGGGGGGTTTAAAGATGAACAAGACTCTGATAATACTGACTTGGATACATAGTTGTAGCTGAAAGAATGCCCCAAAAGTGCCTGCAGGATGAACAGCTTTGAGGGTAAATATGAAGAATCTTCTTTGGTTTGTGGCTCTCACCACTGTTTACAGACTCGGTTGCTGTATGTGGTTTTGCTTTGCCCTCATGGACTGAGTGACGCCTCTATCCATAACATGCTACTCTATCCCTCACTGCTGACTCATTAGTGCTGGCCCTTCTGCTCTCCTAGCGTTACACAGCTTTACCACATCTGGCACTGTGTGCCAGGGTATATTCATAGTACCTCTTTACACTACTCTCTTGACAGTAGCTTAAGAAAAAGATGATAGGACAAATCACTGCTCTGTTTTGTCCCATGTTCTGTCCCTAAAAACGTAAGCAGACAAGTCTTTGTGGCAGAGCTTCTTAACTGCTGCCTTCTCAGTTTGGAGAGAGACCTCATTAATATCCCTTGTTTTACTAAGGATCTACTATCCGAGACGTTAGGGAGCATAATGGCTCTGTAGGATAAGCACTGAATTGTGGACCACAAACTCAGAAGTTCAAGCCCACCAGTCACTTCATGGGAGAAGGATGAAACTCTCTGCTTCTAAAAAGATTTAGTCTCAGAATCCCTATACTGGATCACTATGAGTCAGAACTAACTTAATGACACTTAACAACATCCAAGACCTTGGAGTCCGTGGGTGGTGCAAATGGTTAATGAGCTTGGCTGCTAACCAAAAGGTTAGAAGTTCGGGAGCACCCAGAGGTATCTCGGAAGAAAAGCCACTGGGAAGTCTATGGGGCAGAGTTCTACTCCGACACACATTTGGTTACCATGAGTTCCAATCTCCTCAATGTTAACTGGTTATCCAAGACCTTATCTGCTTTCTTTGTTCCAATTTGTGTTTTTGCTTTCTCAGCTTACAAGGTAAAAGGTCTCTGTGCATAAATAAGCACAGTGGGTTTGCTTTGCTTGAGACATGAGCAACAGTAGAATTATTTGAATCAGTTAATGAGTGTTCTGAAGGGAGAGGGAAGATGAGAAGGTTAGACATCTTAAAAGTGAATAAATGGGTAGAAAGCAGCATTCATAAATCATGAGCACACCAGACGGCATCATGGGATTGTGTCCATGATTCTTCATACAAATCACACAAAAACAGTAGAGATGAACAAGAATTAAAATAGTCTTCAAGGAATGTAGGTAACACATCTGCTTTGGAGACAGATGTCAAAATTGTCAAAGGCCTAATCCAGCCTGCAGAGATGTTATGTTTGTGCCACAGAATGTAAAAATAAAAAATAAAAAATTCTAATGTTGCAAATATTAAAAACTGGGAATGCCACTTTTTTTAAAAAAAAAAAAGTCTAGGTTTCTAGATTTGTGAGAGAAACAGATGATTGGGAATACTGGGTTCACATTCTTGCATGCAAATACCGATTACTATAGCTGAGAAATCTCTGCCCTGCTCTCTCTGAAAAGGTACTGCACTCTCCAGTTCACTGTAGTCTATGGCCTCCTTGATCCATTCCAACTCACTCATTTATCTTGCTGTCTGATCGCTGGAGGGTTGGTGTGGAAAATCTCTGATCCAGGAGGGAAGTTTTAAGAGGAGCTGCTATCTTTAGCTCCACTGTTGTACCATATTCATTGCATTCCTCCTTGGTCAGTTCTATCACTGACTGACTGTCAGTTCTATAAGTGACTTAACCATAATAATGAGCTTAATATTTTGAACTCTGCACTTGGACAGCCACATGTTCATTTTGCCTTCTTTACTGTTAGTTCATTTAAAACTGATCTCCCTAGATATTCAAGAGAGTCTTTCTAGACTCGGTATTCCAGGATTTAATGAACACATCTCCTTTTTCCTGTTTATTTCATAGGTTTGGGTCCTACCCCCATTTGTCCTAGAAAGCAAGTTTAGTTGAGTCCTCATTAAAAACCAAAACAAAAAATTCTCTTGGACAGTTGCTACTCGATCCCCTTGCTACTTTCAGCTGCTTATCTTCTGGCTATTTCTAAATTCATCATTTCCTCTGTGAAGAAAGGCGGAGGAGGAAGGAGCAAGGAGAAGCATTTCCTAAAGGCTTTTCTAAAAAGTACAAGGAGCAGAGTATCTCCCCTGTGAGTATTGTTGTTGTTGTTATGTGCCGTCGAGTTGGTTCCGACCCATAGTGACCCTGTACAGGGTTTCCAAGGCTGTAAATCTTTACGGGAGCAGAAAGCCTCATCTTTCTCCCGCAGAGCAGCTGGTAGTTTCGAACTGCTGACCCTAAGGTTCACAGCCCGATTCGTAACCACTACGCTACCAGAGCTTCATCCTGTGAGTATTAGCATGAGGAAAACATTCTAAAATACTAAGGTGTTGTTATGTGCCATGGAGTTAGTTCTGACTCATAGCAACTCTGTACAGGGTTTCTGAGGCTGTAAATCTTTACGGGAGCAGAAAGCCTCATCTTTCTCCCATGGAACAGCTGGTAGTTTCGAACTGCTGACCCTGAGGTTCGCAGCCCGATTCGTAACTACTACACTACCAGAGTTTGGGAACTAGGAAAGCCCGGTATCTGTATATCTACCTCTAGCTACTGAATCAATTTCCCAAGATGTTAAATATAAGATACTTATGACACATGAGCTATTATCAGACAGGTGCAAATAAAAATGTATGATTAGACAGTAGAGGTGTACTTGACTCTTAAAGGATAAAATAATGTTTTCTTTTTGCCTCCTGACATTGCCAATGACTTAGCAAGCCTTTATGATTTGCAACTATGTGTCAGGATAACACATTCAGGAAACAGTATGAGCAACATTTTACTATCATACAAACTCAAATACATTCAACCAAATACAAGTAATAAGAACTTTGTGGACCACATTCATAATGTCCCATTTAATAGTAAAGGTGGATTAAGGATAGCACGGGTAACTCAAGGTCAAATAAGGAGACAAGAATGGATTTGTAGTTCAAATCAGACCATAAATTGGGCTTCACAGCTTGATCTGAATCCATACACCATGTTGTACTACAAAGCAAGTTTGTTGCTATTATTCTATGTCTAACTCGTGAGCAATCTGCAGGCAATTTGCCTTGTAATACTACCCAAGAAGTTTCTATATATGATGTCTTTGGTTTTGATGAAACTTTTGTTTCTATAAAGGTGTGATGTGAATTTGCTTTCTCTTCCAGTATGGCCCTCATCATCACAGAGGTCAACCCAAATTGTCCCCATTTCCCACTTTTTGTTTTCTATGTTCTTTCAGAGCACCCCAGGTAACAGCATAGGGAGGCTTCGGGGCCAATCAGGAATTTTCATGAAATTTGCAAAATAGACAGTTGAAAAGGATTATAGACATGGAGAGATGTTTAAGGTTTCTTATTATCCTTTGATGCTGCTCTGTGAATAAATACTTGGCATCAGAGTGTTTATGAAAGGCAATGTGCCAAACAGGATGAAGCAGGGTACCAGATGAACCTGACAAGCAGGAGCAGGCAAGTGGGGCATGATGCTCTAGTGTTCTCCCATCAGTCAGGCGAGCATGCTCATTGTTTTCTCTGAATATCGTAAGAGAAACATCATGAAGCTTTATATTTGCCCAAGCCAGTTGGAATTGCTGACATTTGCTCTGGTACCCAGATATCTTATCATTTAATAGATGATAAACATTAGCATCTTTAGGAGCTACCATTATACTGCCCATATGGGTTTTTGTATCTTGGTCTCCTTTCTCTCATAGATCTGATGATCCATGATGCTGACAAGGAATTAACTGATGCGAAAATTTCCTTCTCTTTAAGCAAGTAATTTTGGACCAGACATTGTGAAATACTGGTCATACCGCCAATCTAAATCTAATTATGTGCTGGTAATGAGATTAATCTATCACATTACAAAGATAAATGTTACAGGAACACCTAAGTAATTAGTAATAATTATAGGAGAAATTAGGAGCTCTGGTAGCATAGTGGTTACGAATCGGGCTGTGAACCGCAAGGTCAGCAGTTCGAAACTACCAGCTGTTCTGCAGGAGAAAGATGAGGCTTTCTGTTCCCATAAAGATTTACAGCCTCGGAAACCCTGTACAGGCTCACTATGAGTCAGAACTGACTCTATGGTACATAACCACCACCACCATAGGAGAAATTGAATTATATTTGAATTATGGTGTTGGCAAAGAATATTGAATACAGTATGGACTGCCAGAAGAATGAACAAATCTGCCCTTTACAAATGAGAATAGTGAGACTTTGTCTCATGTACCTCGGACACGTTATTTAGGAAGGACCCTTTGTGGAGAAGGATATCACACTTGGTAAAGTACAAGGTCAGCAAAAAAAGACCTTCATCAGAATGAACTGACACAGTGACTGTAGGAAGGACTCAAACGGAATTGTAAGGATGGCACAGGACTAGACGGTGTTTCTGTCTGTTGTACACAGGGCCATTATGAGTCTGAACCAAGCCAACGGCATCTGACAACAACAACAACAACACAGCAGAAATAATGAAGACTCTTCTTTAAATTTTAGATATCAGGATGGTGTTTCCATGTTTTGCTGACGGAACACAATAACGGTTATGAAAGGGGTTAGCAATTGATATAATCTTGGAAGTACCTTGCTGTGGCCAGCATTAATTTTTTACTTGCTAGATCTGAGAAAAGTCAGAAATGGGATTGAGTGGCTTGGGGTGGGCATGAGGGGGAAGAATTTCTAGAGGAAAAGACCAAGATAGGAAGGATACCAAAAGAGCAATTGGAAGGTAGAGAGCAGTACTTATTTACCAACCATTACAGAAGTATTTCAATATTTTCACAACTGGTTGAACCCTCTGATCACAAGTCCTAGTTATGGTAAATCAACATTTTTCATGCTATTTCAAATCAATTAGATGCTTGTGTCTAAACAGTGCAAGCATAATAATGGGAACATAACGAGGGAATATACTTGTCAGTTATCATTTTATTTCACTAAGACCCTCTGGAATTTTTCAAGGAAATAATCAGTTTAAACCAATCAAAATATTCATCAGATGGCCAAATACTTACAACAGCTGCAAAGATGTATTTCTGGTCTTTTTCTTGCAAAAACAGCAGCACGTCCGTTAGAAGTAGAGCTAAGATATCTTCAAAGGCAAAACCAAAAATATTACTAGTGTTAATGAAGCAAGGAAGGTCCTTTATTAAAGATTGCTGATTTCATATTTGAAATTTCTATAAATTTAGTAAATATAAAAAGACTACGATTTAGTCAGTTATAGAAAATTCTGCAGAAACACCTGTATTATGTATGATGTTGTTGTTGGTATTAAGTGCTATCGAGTCAGTTCCAACTCATAGTGACCCTTTATAGGGTTTCCAAGGAGCAGCTTGGTGAGTTGGAACCACTGACTTTGTGGTTAGCAGTCCAGTGCTGATCCTGTGTTATTATAATCAAAGATAAAATCTGTGTTCAGGTGTGCATATTTGTGTGTTAACTCTAGTTCAAGCTCCAGAAAAAGGTAGTGTTAGCTTTGAAAATGGCAGGAAAATATCCAATTAAAAAAGCAAACTCTAATAGAATGACAAGGAGTCCCTCAGTGGTGCAAATGAGTAAGCACTGGACTCCCAGCTGAAAGGTTGATAGTTCAAACCCACCCAGGGGTACATCAGAACTCAGGCCTAGTGATTGGTTTCTGAAGGGTCACAGCTTTGAAATTTCTGTGTAGCGTAGTGTGTGTGTGTGTGTGGGGGGGTCACCATGATTGAGAATCAACTTGATGGCAATTAACAACAATGACAAGAGAATGGCAAAAAGACCTTATCTTTAAAAAACATAAAGCACTTCATTAAAAATGTTAGCAAGCAAGTAATCTCATACATGAGCCCTGGATATCCACAGATAAATGTAAAAACCTTCCCTAGAAGCCTAGACGGTAAAGTCCAAAAAGGCAAAGTTTTTCCACCCCTCCCCACCCCCCCAAAAAAAAAAAAAAAAAAAGAAAGAAAGAAAAATTCCAAAGGTCCTGATTATTAATAAACCTTTTCTTCTGTAAAAGAACAGCTTGCTTTTATTCCAAGTTCTGTTATTCCTGAAGAATGCCTTTTCTCTTTAGTTATGTCCTGTTTAACTCAGGCCAACAGAGTCTACAGATGGAAAATGCACTTATTTAAGCCAGTTCATTAGTAGGGTTATGTTATCACATCCATTGTCAATTGATAACATGCTTGTGGAATTAGAAGCTTTTCTTCTTATCTCTGCCATTGTTTCCCCTTGGGAGGAATGGGATACATATATGAATAACCTACTTTCTCACAAAGAGCCCTCCTTCAACATGAGTTCCACAGAAATATTGTTCCAGGAAACAAGGGTATGACCCAGGTGATTAACTTGCTAAGG